TACTAAGTCGCAAGTGGCCAAATCAAGGGCGGAAAAGGAAATGAAAAAATTCGAAAATTCTCTAGCAAATAGTGAAAAAGAATTAGAAGTATTAAATAATGAGATAGAAAATATTACAAAAGAAATTCAACAAAAAGCTAATGTTGCACGTTCCATTCGTATTAAAGCCGATGAAGCCAAATCTGTATTTATGATTTATTTTATCTGAAGTTTTTTATTAATATTAAATATATTTACATGTTTTCTAAATAAATACTTAGAAATTGGAAAGTAAAAAAGAAGAATTAGATGAGATCAAGGAAGAATTTGATGAAAAAGCCGAAATTATTAATCAAATTAGAGCAATTGAGGTTTATATTTATATTTATCATTATTTTCTTAAAATTAAGTCTTTTTTTAATGACTAATCATACTATGTATTTATTAGTTAAAAATCCAAAACCAAATAGAAGATAGTGAACGCAATTTGACAGAAAATAAACAAAAAGAAATTCATTGGCGAAAATGTCTTAGTAACCTTACACTTCATGAAATCGGGTAAGGCATGCTGATGTTATTTAAATATTCATTCTACCATTATCTCATTGACTTTTATAAATAGGGGTGACGAAGAGCAAGAATTTCAAATCTATACTGATGATGAGCTCCATGCAATTAACAAAGATACATTACAAGGAGAGATTGATATTCTTAAAGGTATTCTAATTTATCTTTTTTATATTCTATTTATTCTTTATATCTAATTATTTTTTTTTTTTTAAAAAAAAAATCTCTAGAAAAAACCGAAAACGCCAACCCAAATCTAAATATTCTGAAGGAATATAAGATTTGTGAAAAAGAATATATATTACGTCAAAAAGATTTTGAAGAGATTACTTTCAAACGTAATGAATGTAAAGAGAATTACAATAATTTAAGGAAGCAAAGATTGGACGAATTCATGAATGGATTTAATATTATTTCTCAAAGGCTTAAAGAAATGTACCAGGTATATAATGATATTTTTTATCAATATTTGTTATATAAGAATATAACAAATAATTGTTTTTAGATGATTGCACTTGGAGGAAATGCCGAGCTGGAATGTTGCGATAGCTTGGACCCCTTTTCGGAAGGCATTATTTTTAGTGTTATGCCGCCGAAAAAAAGTTGGAAGAATATTTCGAATCTATCTGGTGGAGAAAAGGTATTTCGTATGTTCTCAAATGTTTTAATTTTAATTATACTTGATATGTAACGAATAAATGTATTTTATCAAAATACAGACATTAAGTTCTTTAGCATTGGTATTTGCTCTTCACCATTTCAAACCTACACCCATATATGTTATGGATGAAATTGATGCGGCCTTAGATTTTCGAAATGTTTCGATCGTCGCTAATTACATCAAAGAACGTACTAAGGATGCACAATTTATTGTAATTAGTTTACGTGATAACATGTTTGAATTAGCGGATCATTTAGTAGGGATTTATAAAATTGATGATCAGGTAAGATTCTTTCTTGCAACCAATTTTTTTAATGAATATTTATTAATTTTTATGAATAATATTATTTTAGTCAAAATCAGTTACTATTAATCCGAGTAAATTTCGTGAACTTACGTTAGGTGAAGTCTCGATATAGGCCATTGTGTTAGTAATTAGCTATGCTAAATAATATGTCCATCAAAAATATTCCCGTAAAATAAAAAATTTGTGTAAGGTTTTTTTAAACGTTCCATATGATTTTTAAAAATTTAAAATAAATATAAATTTTTATAATTTTAATTTCGATAAAAGATTCTATTTTACAGTAATAAAAATTTTTTATTAATATTTTTATAATAAAATTTACAATGATAATGTATTTTAAGTAAAATTACTGTATATAGAAAATACTTATTTCTATGCATCTGTTAGATATATTTTAAATTATAATTAATTAATTGATCAATTACAGCTTAAAGAAAATGAGATGGTTGTAATACCCGCGTGATGGAAATTTGTGTATAGGCATTTGGAAAAATAGCTTGCTAAAGCTCTAGGTTTCTACGCGACTTGAACTTATCGATTTTACAAACTTCTTGCCTTATTTTAAAATTCGTTTCCTAAAAGCAATGTCAGATCGTTCAAAGAATGTCATTGGACGCTGGTTTACAGACCAGCGTCCCTCGACACCGGTCACCACTCCTCCTGCTTGGCCCAATTTTAGTACAGAGACTGGCTTCATTGCTAATCCTCAACTTACCCCATCTTTTGCATTAACAAACCACGTTTGGAATGACACAACTCATTCTTCTAGTGGAGATTCATTGTTGGAAAAGGAACAGAATAATTTTGTGATAAATCATAATTTAAACAGCTCATTAACTTCTTTATCAGCTTCACCAGATCATAATCATGTAGTTGTAGCAGGCCGCGAAGGTATAAAGCCAATTTAATTAATTTCTTTGAAAGTATTTATAGTAAGTAAACACCTTGATTTAATTTATAGTTCTTAAAGTTCTGAACGTGTCTGAGCGAGAAATTACTGAAGAAATTAATCTCAAGAATAGACATATTAAATATAGCAGTAATGATGTAAAGTGGGGCAATGTCTGTAAGTTTAATGGCGTTATCTAACTTACTATTTGAATATATTTAATTCAAATTCCGTTAGTTTACACATTATTTCGCGCGATCCAGGAATTAAGAATAATTGTACTGGTTGCTTTTCAGCCACAAAAAATAAAATCGCGACGGCAGCAACTAATGGATCAATTATCATTTGGGATATAGGAAATGGTCGTGCCAGAATAGGCAAGTTATTTTGGGAATGATTTTTTATTATAATTAATCCATTCATATACTTAATTTGCAAAACCTTTTTCTATAGATCGGAAAATCACTGAACATTCACGTGCTGTAAATAGGATCTGTTTTAGTCCTACGAATGGATTAATACTTTTAAGCGCGTCTCAAGATTATACTATGAAATTATGGGTAAGTGATTTAGCATGTATGATATAAAAAAAATTTTTTAAATCAATTTTCAATAATTTCTCTTTAGGATTTGAGAGAACCAGAGCCTGCCAAGTTTACTTTTGATGGCAAATGTGAAAGTGTTCGTGATGTTCAATTTAATTCAATAAATACAAATGATTTCGCAGCAGCATTTGAAAATGGTACCATCCAGGTTAGCAAATAAATATATGTATCTTTTGTAATTCATTAAGATGATTCGTTATATTAAATCTTTTTATATATTTAAGAAATGGGATATAAGAAAACCGAATATACATGAAAGGAGATTGAATGCACATATAGGTTCAGTTCTTGCCGTGGATTGGCATTCTGACGGAAGAACTATTGCTAGCGGTGGGCGCGATAAATCAATTAAAGTACGTGTAATTTATTCAATTCGTTACATGGAACCTATTTTAATTCATTAACTACTTAGATATGGGACATGAACTCTGATAGTAGGAAACCAAGGGACGCAATTCAAAGCATGACAAGTATATCTCGCGTTCAATGGCGACCTAATCATCTTAATGAAATTGCTTCATGTGCGTTATTAAGTGATAATAGAATATTTGTTTGGAACATAAAAAGACCTTACATTGCAAGTTATTACTTTGAAGAGCATGATGACGTGCCAACGGGTATTGAAAATAAAATTGTTGATATTTCTCTCTTTCATTAGTTTGTGTTTTACTAAATTTCCTATTAATTATAGGATTTTTATGGCATGATTCTGAGGTTTTATGGTCTTGTTCAAAGGATAAATTTTTTATTCAACAAGACATGAGAGATTCCTATCGTCCATTGAACATGCTTAGCAAATGTAGTATTGGATGGAGTGCATATGACAAGATTGCATTTGCTATTGAAAAACCAAATGATTCGGAAGACCAGTAAATACTTCTCATTATTTAATTTCGACAAGCTATTTTGCTAACATATCATTAATTATTTTAATGCCATCTTTTTAGATCTAGGTCAATATCATCTACAAGTAATCAATTTAGGATAATGCAAAGACGAATATCTCCTATTATTATCGAAACTCGTAACGAAGTATAATATTAAGTTTGTTAATGAATAACCATCTGCGTATAACAGATTCGTATTGTTAAATCTTTTTTTTAAAAAAAAAATTAATATAGGATCACTATGAGTTACAACAAAAAACTGGTATTGCCTCCCTTCCCACTTTTGATCACAAATCCTTTTCATATCTTGCTGAAAATTACATGATTTCAAGTCATGATATTGTATTCGCATGTGAACATAATGCCAAGGTAAATTTTGATTTGGTGATTAATAAATATTTTAAATTATTATTTAATTTGTAATTTATATTTCATTATAAGGTTGCATGGGATGTTCAAAGATTTAGAACTGCACAAACCTGGAAAATGATACAGCTTTTATATGGAAATTTGGAACCTATAAACAAATCAGAGTCTACTCATGAAGGTATTAAATTTCAATAACATTTATGTATTTTTAATTTATTTCTACAAAATTTTTTTATTAATTATTCTTTATAAAAATTTAGATGAAGTTATAGATGATAGTTTGTTAAAAGATTCATTTCCCACTAATCCTTCAGTGGAAATAAAATCAATAAAAGATTTAAATAAAGATCTAAATACTGTAACGAAGCCTAACGAGACATTAGTTGAAGTAAGTCTTTATTTATTTATTTATTTTTTTGATTTAAGAAATAATTTTAACAATTATAAAATCGAAAGGATGAAGATTCATTATTTGAATCTGATGGAGAAGACGAAGAAAATCGGGTGAAAGAATCTGATGATGATATTCAAAAATCTCCACGTAATTCAATTAAGATGACAAGTCGTACTGTTCAGACAACATATAATTCAACATTAAATCGGAACTGGGATAAAGAACCGATGATAACTCAATTATTAGATTATTATGCAGAACAGGTTTTTATTTGAGTTATACTAACGATAATATATTTTTTTAATAATAATTTTAATAACATATAATTATAATCAGGGTGACGTACAGATGTGTGTCACTTTGGTTTTAGTTCTTGGTGATAGGATTAAAATAAGTCAGGAGAGAGTAGAGCAATGGTTTTTTTCTTATATTGGTAAATTTACAAGATTTATGAACGTTATTTTTTTAATAATATTAACGATTTAAATGTTCATAAAATTTTCACTATATGAATGAACTTATTTACCTTCAGAATTGCTGCATAGATTTCAACTCTGGTGTGGAGCTACACATGTTATTTCATCTAGCAGAATTTCTTCTGTTGAGATGATGAATCAGGTTTGAATTTATTATGCTAATTATCAAATTTAATGTTTTATTCAAAGCTCATTAGAAATTATTATGTCAGCAATCCACAACAATATACACAACATGTAACAATTGTTTCAGACCAATGCTTAACTATAGATGTGGATATTGGATATGTGAAAAATGTCGGAAGATGTTAAATCCCTGTTCAATATGGTACGTGTCACCTTTTTTTTTAAAAAAAATTTCTCTCATTATAAATTCATATTAAATTCTTTTGGTCCTAAAAGTCATAATACAGTGAAAGGATTATATACTTGGTGTCAAGGTTGCAGCCATGGAGGACATCTTATTCATATGCAAGAGTGGTTTTTGGTAAATAATGAATGTCCAACTGGATGTGGACATAAATGTTCTACAAAATTTTTTTGTACTTGAAAGATTATTATTTACATTTTATAATCATCTTCATATGAATTTAATTGTAATATTATCATTTAAAATATGATGAAATGTTTGATCACCTTAAAAAATTCCTAATTTTTAATTATAAATATGTGAATTTTTATAAATAGTTTTGATATATTGATGTTAAATTTATAACTAATATATAATTAATCTATGCTATTTTGTTTACTTTTATTATTTTATTTTAAAATTTTATATTTATTGCATTTATATTTAAAGAAATTATTTTATTTAAATAAAATATTGTTTTCTTTGTTAATTATAATTATAAACTTATATAATATATTTTTTATTAATTAAAAAAGTATAGCTATTTTTAATAATAAGTAATAAAAAATATATAATTAAATTAAATTTTGAAATAAAATCAAAATATAAATATAAGACATTATAAAAGAAATTACTATTTATTTGATATTAAAAAAGAACAGATAAGACTATCACTTTTGGATGTTACATATACATTTTTCTTAAAATATTTAAATTAAAATAACAAAAAAAATTTAATATAAACTTAAATTAATAATAAATAATATTTATCTTTTATGATATCTATTCTCCTATTTACATAAAAAATTCAAAATCTAGTAAGAAGATATATTAATCAACCAATTAAAATTGCGATTTTTGAAAGAAATCATATGATTTTAAAAGCCCATCATATTTAAAATTATTAGTTAATTAAATAAAAATTATATTTTTTTATACATATGATGTAAATAATTAATTGAAATTTGATCATAAAATAAATAATAAAATAAGAAAATGTAATAAATATAATAATTTATAATTTTAAAAATAATTCTTATATATTTTAACAAGTTTTTGCTTTATCTTTTGCCTCATCTATATCATTTAAATTATCTTTAACTACGTATCTTTTTTAACAAATTTTTGTTCACCTAATTTTTTTGTGAACTGATTATAAGAGCATCTCATTTTGCTTGACTTTATATTGAAAATACCCTAAATATATCAGACATTTAAATTAACATCTTTGTAAACAATAGTTATGCTATACATACTTATACATAAGAATAATACCATCAATTAAATAGTTAATATATTCACAATATAAATAATCGAATAGTAAATTTAATTTCTTAGAAATAACAAAATCTCATAAAAGGTGATGATTAGTAACTTCATAATCTTAAAAAAGTAATTTATATATATTAATACTATTAGATGATATTTTAATAACTAAAGGATATAAATGATGTATTTGATATATTTTTATAATTACAGTTACACCTCGATATAACGAAGTTGCCGATCCAGTTGATCAGAACTTCATTATAAGAATCTTCGTTATAGCGTTAACGAATTATTCGTTATAGTAAATGATTACTGATTTCATTACACAAATATAATTTTACTATGA